CTCATGGACATTCATTCATGGCGAAGTCTTGCCAATCCCTGTGTAGTGTAAGTCCTTGCTCTGGGTTTTGGACCTGTCTTTGGATTGGCATTGTTGAATATAATCATTTGTGTTTTGACCCCTTCCTGTCTTACCACTCTTGCAAATGGATCCTCATTCTGCTTCTGAGTCTCCAGTGTTTCACGTAGATAGGCCAGTACACTATATATTGCAGACCAACAACCAAAAGTTGATTTAAATATCATCAGCATAAAGAGTCTGATATAAACATCATATATCTAAAACATACATGCCTGAGGACAAACCTAGATCTGCAGGTTTTTCTTGATACAATGAAGATAAATGACAGCAATAAAGTCAAATATTGTGTGAGGGAATCTGGGTGATATGCTACCCAGACAATCGACCCTAAACTATTACTGTGTGCTCACAATCTGTGTGGGGCAAATGAATGAAAAATAGGCCATTGAGTCAATTAAAATAACAGCCTAGTCTGTCAACAATACAGCACAGAAACAAATTGCAACAGCTTGTAAAACCCTGTTCTGCTCTAAGCTATTACCAGGGCAAAAAAAATCAACTCACCTATCAGGAATGAGGTCACTGCTAAATTAGATTTTAACCTTTAACTTCAAGTTGTCTTCTATTTATCAAATTGCTGCTAAACCAGGTAGCTTTGCTTCAGCGTTGATAGAGTATAATTTATTCGTTACAGAAAGAAGATGTTTTTGGTCATGGCACCCCAAGCTATTTACATATTTACAAAACTGTAATTTCTATTAAGAACTCAGACAAAAAAAGTAGAAAAAGTCTCCGGAAATAGACACAAACATGGTTAAGGATGGAATAACTCTCTTTAATGACTTGTAAATATAGCTACAGAGAGAGATTAAAACAAACAACAAAGAAGTGCATGGGACAAACAATGGTGATCAGTGACTGGTCATTAGGACACACTTGTGATCAGTGATTGGTCATTGGGACACATTGGTGATCAGTGATTGGTCATTAGGACACATTGGTGATCAGTGAGTGGTCATTGGGACACATTTGTGATCAGTGATTGGTCATTGGGACAGACTGGTTATCATTGATTGGTCATTTGGTCACATTTGTGATCAGTGATTGGTCATTGGGACACACTGGTGATCAGTGAGTGGTCATTGGGACACACTGGTGATCAGTGATTGGTCATTGGG